TGGTTTAAATACTTACATTTTGTATAAAAGGTTTAAATATAATTTAAAAATAACAAATCCAAAAAAATATTATATTTAAACTTAAATAAAAATAATTAAAATAAATATAAAATTTTAATAATATATAAAATAATTTATATGATATAAAATTAAATATCTATAATATAATATTAAAAAATTAATATTTAATTTATTTAAAAAATTAATATTAAAATTAATATCTATAATATAATATTAAAAAATTAATATTTAATTTATTTAAAAAATTAATATTAAAATTAAAATCAAATATAATATAAAATTAAATATAAAACCTCTTTGAAGATGTTAGAAGATGTCTGTAGACATAAGGCCACGTCTACTCTGCGCAGACCACACGCAGACGTTAGAAGTGTTTCTTTCTTCTAAAAAACAACCATCACCTTAGTTACCATTTAAAAGGCGGAGTCATCTTCAGAACAATCAGTGCATTGATTTCTACGTCTTGACTCTTGATATCCACGTTATCTTTTACGTTCTTTTAAAAATCATGGGAGAATTCCTCAATTTGTGATAACTTTAAATAATTATTCAAAATCACAAAGCCAAAATTGGATTCAGTATTAGTGTTTCATATATATCTAATGATATCCTTGGTTCTCGATAAAATTAACAACTTATATTGAGAAATGAAAGATAGTTGAGCAAGTTAAGACTTGGAATGTAAAGGGACGAAGGAAGCCAAACCGCTGCCTTCTTTCTTGTAGGTTCTTCATTTGTTCCTTGTAATGATTCTCAATGTACTGCTTGGCAGCGGCGGCCATTTTGTCTGCTGATCTTGGAGAGAACTTCTTCGTCCGCATTGACTTCTTCATTCCCTCCTCCTCCGCCACCGCTGCTTCCAGTGTTAGACGTCTCCTCATTCCTCTGCGCGGCCCTCAACTTATCCTTCTGTTGCAGCTTCGAAAGACAACTCCTAACTGAATCAATTCTCTCACCAAAATCAAATCTCACGCAAACAAAAATTCCCTCGCATTCTGCAAAATAAAATTGTAATGATTTTTGTTTTCCAAAATAAAATTGGAATGAGATGAGAAAAGCGGAAGAAAAGATTTTTGGTTTTCTTGTCGCGCGCGTTATTCTGAATTGAATTGCTTATCCTCTGAGTTGTATTTTGATCGCACACCTTTTGCTTCCATTTATATACGTTTCTTCGAATTAGTTTAACTATTTATATTATTTATAAAATATAAGTTCAATTATGTTAATTATTATTTATAAAAATAATTTTGAATTATTTTAAAATTAAATTATTAATTAGCTGAACTTTTAATTATTATTATAGATACCGCTAGAGAACAATTGTTGTCTTGGGCCGTTGTTAATGTTTTGATAATTCACTACCTCTATATAATTATTTATTAAAATAGTACTCGTCTCGAGTTTGAGTTTTTTTATATGCAAAAAATTCTCGTTGTTTGACTCACCCATCAAAATCAGGTGTGCTATCAGGATCGGTCCAGATTAATCAAGACGAAGCCTTGAAAATCAGAAGGGCAACAAAAAAAATAGTACTCATTTTATTCTACTAAATGTGTTTTGTTTTTAAAATTATATCATTCAAAATATTCTATTAGGAAAGTCAACAAACAACAACACTTATATTTATTCTTTTACTCTTATATGTCTCACTTTTTTATAATTATCGAAACAAATTTGTTACATTTATCAATCACCTTTTAGATATAATTTTGGCATTTCTCTTAATTAAACTTAAAACTGTGTGCATAATTAATATAGACACAAATTATAGGACGGAGAGTATATATTTATAAAAGCTTTAATAACATTCATTTATATTAATATTAATGTATTTATATCATTTTTTACTAATATGATGTTTGTATTTGTCATTGTTTATATTTTGGTTGGGATTGGGTAGAGGTTTCTTGCCATAAGGGCATCATGTGACATCTAACATTCAACAACAAACAAAAAGATCTTTGTAAATATCACACAAACAAGATCATAGATGTTGCACAAAGCAAGGTAACATGTTAGTTGATGAGGTTGGCTTGTCTTTTATAATGATTTTAACATGTTAGTTGTTAGCTACATTTGGTCCCATTTTGTTACGGGAGTAGAATTTGACGTTGATATCTTCAGGAATAATCGTAAAATTTTATGTTAAAATATATGAATTTAAGAATTTATATTAAAATTTTAAATATTGTGATATTATAAATTTTTGTGAAATTAAAATATTAATAAAATTATGAAAATTTAAATTATATAAAAATTTAATATTTTCAAAAACTACGATTGTACCCGTCAATCCATCTATGGACACCATGATGTGAACTGGACTTCAGCTAAGTTTTGTTGTTGGTGTTAGAGTGGGGAATTGCTTAGCTATCAATATATATATAAAGATTGCAACTAACAGTTTGGAGACTAAAGAAAAATTGTCTGCTTTTATTTTGGGTAAATTTGAATTTAGTATTTAAATTATCAGTTTTGATCCGTTTTAATACCTAAACTTTTAATTTTTTTGAAAATCATACTTAATGTTCAGTTTTTGTTTCAAATAAATAGTTGTCCTGACGTATATTTTTAGTGTTTTCAAAATTTTCAAAAAAGTCATTTCAAGCTCTATACCCGAGCTCCAACCTTTAAGTGCGAGTAAAAGCAACGCCTTCGTAGGAATTTATTCCTCGTATGGGCCTAGCAATTTGCCTTTGTGATCCATACTCTATGCTTTCATAAGAATTTATTCTTCGCATGGGTTTAGAGGAATGTGTCATCTCGAGTTTAACTCGATCCACATAAGCCTGTGATGGGTTTAGGATCAAGGATCTGACAGACCCAAGGAGGCACTAGCAAAGAGAACTCGGGTCCTTTTTTTAGAACCCAAACCATGTCGATGTGAGAATTAGAACCTAGTCCTAACCTCATGCAAACCCTAGGATATTGTTGCTTTATTTCTTACCTTTATTTTACTGTTATAAGCAAGCGAACTAGATATATATACAGTTAGGATTTATTTTCGAGAAAAAACATGTGGGATTAGAAATCATGATTTGGTAGGAACAAAACCATGTGGGGTAGATATCATACGAGTATGAATGATTGTAATTTTGTTTTTTTTACCTTATTAACTATGTTTCTTTTTGTTTTTTATTATTTCATCTGCATCATTACATAAAGGTGTTGATCCGCGAAGTGTTCGTAAAACTCCGAATAACTTTCCTTAATGAACAAAGAGGTTGTGATGCAAGAGGTTAAAGAACGTAGGGACACGATTGTGATCTAAGAAAACAAGACCATGAGATGACTACATTAGATGGCTTCACATCAATCGAGTAGAATGACAACCAAAAGATGTAAAGCATGTGGGGCAAACATGAGAGGAGGCCAAATCTATTTCAAACCTAACAAAGATTGCGGGAGTAGACCAAGTTAAAAGGCGATGAGGATTAAGAAGCAAACATTGAACATGAAGTCTTGAAAAAAAAGGCAAAACAAGAAAAACGAGTGGGCTTCAGATAGTCCTTACGATGGAGGACCTCAGTAGAGAATATACCTAACAAAAGTGAAATGGTCATCTGGTAGTTCCTATGGCAAATCCAAAAATGACTCATCACTGTGAAATTTGACAAGATAAGTTGTGGCAATGAAACAAGGCTTATTGACCTACTAAAAGTTGTATAAAGTTCGAGGAATCTAGAAAGTGTACATCAAAATGTTTTTGACCTCATTGTAATAACGCTTTTTTCTCAACGAATGTCATTTTATCATAACTGAGTTTTTGGATCAATACCTCAAAAATTTCATGCATTCATCGTGCATTTTTACATTCTTGCACTTTAATTTAACAAGCTTACTAACATGCATCACTTTTATCCATCGGAGAGGAAAAAACACTGGACTCATCTCGAACGCATAATACTAAACTCAAATCAAAAGCAAATAGAAGTTAGACTAGAGAGATCGAGGAAAATTTCACCAAAAGGACATGGGAAACATAATAGGCCAAAACCACAAGGATATTCACGAAGAACTAAAGTAGTTTGGTTGATCAGATTGTGGCTAGGCTGTCAGGCTTAAACTTTATAAATGTCCTTGAGGCAGAGGGATCAGAAGAATTAATGGCGTAACTCCACCATCAAAGCTAGTAATTGCACTAAAAAACTTTCAAGAGTACTTGAGAGACTTTTCTGCCATGAACGCACAAGCTTTGACAACAAATCTAAAAGGTCATCGCATTCCAGACTTTGACGATAAGGAAAAATCTCAAAAAATAGAGGAGAAAATAAGACAATTGGAAGACCGGATGAAAACTGTCAAATGAGAGAATAACTCCTACAGAGTTAATGCCACAATCGATGAATGGGGCATCCTAGGACGAGACAAGAGGAGATCATCACCATTACCATGGAGTTGTATTGCCTAGGAAATAATGTCTTGTTTAAATTTGTCTTTTATATGCCAGAACTTTTTAAAAATGACATTTTTATGTAATAAAACATTGTTTGAAATTCAGTGAATATCAAATATAATGAAATGTACATTTGAATCGAGGTTATAACCCTTTGACATATGATGAGATCAAATTTCCAGAAAGATAAGGTCTATTCATCATTGGCCCCCTCAAAAAAAACATTTTCCCCACACAATGAAGCCATCAGATAGTAAAATAAAGTATTATTTTTTGGATGTCTCGGGATTAAGCAGATGTAATTTATAGAATATGTGTGTTCATTGTCAATTGACTAAGAAAATTCTAAGCACAAACTATCTTCCCATAATAATAAAAAAATAATTTAATAGTTAGGTTGTATAATCAATTTTTAATTCGATGATCAAAATAAAAACAACCCTATAGTTTAGTGACTACATGAGTACCTTTATTTTTATTGTTATGGCCCAAGCCTCCCTATAGTTTAGTGACTACATGAGTACCTTTATTTTTGGGATTGTTATGGCCCAAGCCTCATTTTCATCAACACATTACTCACTGTACTCCATCGCTTTGCGCACAGCAAAGACTTCAAACGGAAAATACAATGCCGACGAATTTTCATTTCGTAGGTTTTCCGTTTTTATTGATCTGAAGCCATTGGGTTTCCTGTGTCAAATTCTTTCCATTTTTATATCCTACTGAACAATTTTAATATTTGCGTCAATGAATCTCAGTTTTTGAGGGTGTTGACTGAGGGAGTGTGGGGTTTTAATTACAGGAAATGGCCAGAAGTCTCATTGGATTTATGGTTCTCTTACTCTTTCTATCGACCTGTGAAGCATCTCCAATTTATCAGCCGATCTCCGTTTGTCATCGATCTGCCGCTCTTGTGCACTTCAGTCCCGACCATGGATCCTTCAAGAGGTTTCGTTAAACCCTTGTTTATTTTTTAACTACATTTATCCGTTCATTGGTTTGTTGATCAAGAAAAGAAATCGGGAGAATGGGGAATAAATACGTTGAAAGTCAAACTTATGTTTATTCCTCCCTCCATTTACAGTGTTGAGGAATCTGATATTCCAGTAATTGTTTTTTTAATTGGAAATAAATTGAGATCTTTGAGAATTAGGTTCTAGGAATGTCTATCTTATTTGATGTAATTGATCTCACCAGTTTAGAAGAGACATACGAAGCACTAAGAACATTTGACGTTCTTGGAATCCAAAAGAAGCCTAATGTAACCGCCACAGCTTGCCGTTTAATTTCGGAAGCTGTTGGGTCATCATCATCAACCCCAAAGGATCTTTTCTATGCTTTAAAAGCAAATAGCGTGGCGAAATGCAAGATAAACGATAAAGTTTTTCAGGTATTTAATAGAATTAAAAATTTGGCACACTAACTTGTCACTGAAAATATCTAACTTTTTTTTTAATCCTGGCTCTTAAATTTTGTTTTTATTCTTTTGCAAAAGGGCATTATAACAAGACTTAATGCTGCTGTCAATGATGCAAGTTCATTGCTTGACTTCCACTATTCAGTAGGAGGTTTGGTGCTTGTCAAGGTAATAAATGAGTGCATGATATTGGTTATCATGATGAATCCAATTTAATAAATCTTAGGTGTTTTTTAGAATGCACTATACTTGCTTTGTTTGCTATGTTTAAAAAGGGACCTTATTTATCCAGATTCTATGGCTTTTTACTTGTTTCTATTTCCCCCCTTACATTCTAATACATTGTTTGTCAATGCTGGATCAGAGTTCCAAACCTGACGTTCATCTTGCTAATGCTGATGGAATTTTCCGCTCAGTGAAGGTTTGTTATTATTACTAGATTTAATTTTGTGGAAGAGTTTTGATATAGTGCTCACTCTCTCCAGCTCTATCCAGGCAGGCTAAGGCCTACCATTTTGGTGGGACTACTTGAACTTGATGGTACAGAGAGATTTGTGTTTGTTGAGGACTTATTACTTAAATTGCCTCAAACTTCTAATCTTATTTTTATGTTAACTTTTTTCACTTCAGCCAATTTCTATAACTTGATTTTATAACATGTATGTTTTCCGTAATGGTTGATTTTATGTTACAAATTGTTTCCAGGCTTTCAGTCAGGGTGATGGCAAGTGGCGCTATAGTTCAAATAATCCTGAATCCAGTGCATTTGCTGCTGGTAAATAATTTTTCTAGCTTCTATGATCTGTTTTTTTTTTTGAGATAATGTCCTGCACAACCATCATTTAGCAATTTTTTTTAAAGACAATGTCTTCATAAATGTTGTTTACCTTCTTTTTTCCATTCATCAATTGTTCAATTCAGTTGTGAGATAGTTATTTGTCAAGGCATGTCATCTTTTTGCAGGAATAGCACTTGAAACACTTGCAGGAATTGTTTCATTAGCATCTTCTGAACTTGACCAATCTTTGGTAAGTATTATATGTTGTTTGCTTTTATTTGGTTCTGGTTTGACCAATTTATGAATTTGAATTGTTAATCAGCTTGAATGTATGATGCAATGTTCTCTTGTTAAACTTCACGTGTTGTAATTATATATATACATACATACATACATACATACATATATATATATATATATATATGTGTGTGTGTGCGGTGAACTGCTGATTTTTAGCCTTGTATGTTTTGCGGTTTCTGAATTGATTATTTTCTGCCCCTAATACATGTGTGATATCTAGCTAATTGATGTGGATCTTAATCAATGTTTGTTTAAGGCAATGCAAGGATTATTACCAGATATTCTGTTATTTCTTATATTATCATTAAATTATCTTGTTGAGAGAAGTGGGTTGTTGGTTATCCCTCTTGTGGCCATGAGGGCCTTGTTGGAACTCTTGCAAGGAAAAATGGATTTTCCTTCTTGTAAGCGTAGAACTACCTCTTTTTTCTGTAGCTACGAGCACTTCCTTAAAACTCTTTAAGCCATCTAATTAAATTCTGTAAACCATATTAAGCTGAAGAGGGGATGTTTTGAATCCAAGAAAAACACAAGACTTGTCAAGTGAACTTAAAATAATTTGCATTTCTATGATTTTTTTTTATGTATTATTTCATTACTTCAGTTAGCCATATGATGGTGTCTTTTGATATTGAATTGTCTCTGCTCAAGTGAGCAAGGTTTGCTTTCATTATTTTGTTGCTTATGTATGTCATTGTTAGTTTACGCATTCCGTTTTATATGTTTGGTTACTGTTGGCAGGTCAGTACTCTAAATAACGATATAAGCAAGCTTTTCGACAGTATTGAGAAATATGGTATGTGCATTTTCTCCTCTCTTTTTTTTTTCAAATTCCTTTTACGTTATTTTTTATTGGTTCTAATTTTCTTCAATTTTTTCTCCTTCTTCCATTCACGATTTATCTACAAAAAAGAATAGTTTTACCAATTTCTTGTTCAATTATTTTCTTCCATCCTTTTTGTTGTTTCTTCTTTTTCAGACAATGAGGTTCTTTACTTCGATGTTATGCTTGGTGATGGACATGACCATCAAGGTCCCTTAGCAACCACCTCGTCTATTGTTAGAGGACTAACAGCATTTGCAGCAGTGAGTGATGGAAGTCTTATTGTCTGTTGGGAGAGTTCACTCATATTGCACTTTTAGCCTTTTCTCTTCTTCTTCTTCTTCTCCTTTTTTTGGGGAGTGTGTTTTAATCCTTCTGGTTTATTTCTGCAGCTTCCAGGCAACAAGATACTCGGATTGGCTAACTTCTTCCTTGGTGTTGGAGTTCCTGGTGATGCCAAAGATTTATTCAACCAAATAGACTCCTTAGCTTGTTTGGAAAGCAACAGGCAAGGTTTTCCTTTGGCACTTCTAATGTATTTGTATTTATTTTATATAAAATTTGATGATGGTATTAGATTTCCTAGACCTTAAATTCATAATGTCAATACCTGCTTACAACAATGCTATGGCAACCTTTTTCTTTGGTTTTATGTAATAAAGCTCTGGAGCTTAATAGATCTTAAATTTCACACTTTCCATGCAGGGTTTCCATCCCACTGATTCTATTTCTTCCATCTACAGTGCTTTCATTGACCAAAAAGGACTCACTCCAGGTTTGTCCAAAGTTAACATCCTTGACATGAATACTTAAGTTATTCTAAAGTGCTAGAGACCTATCATCCAAAGACTGATAACATTAACATTAGTGACATTCTATTTTGCTTCGCTACACTAGTTTTGAGAACCTTAGTACCTCATATGATGTAGTGTATGCTGAAAACTGTTGGCCTTTGTTTTAAAAAGAATTATCAAAAAAGGATTTCCCCCCCCACATGATGCATATTTGTGGTGCATTGACTTGCTTTTCTCTCCTATATTCATTTGCATAGGCCTCTTTATTCCAAATTTGGATTCATTGAATCTGGTTTGTAGGGTTTTGTTAATCCTGTTTTTTAACTTTTTTCTTTGAATATAACAGGTTAAAGTTAACACTGTGCTGGGTTTAAATCCACCACCTCTTACTGTGAAGCTTGTGGGAGCTTTTACTTCTGGTTCAAAGGATGCATCTCTAGTTGAAAGCCAGGTTTATTGTTTTATCAAACCATTTTCATTTTGTCGGACGTAATTTCTGCTGTACTCAAGTTATACTTTTGCATTCCTTTTTTGATTCAATGTCTGCAAATATTATAAATATAGGAACTTGGGTTTGATGCTGGAACTGGGCTACATAACTTGAACAACTTGCCAAAGAGTATAGATGTTGGAAGTTACACATTTGTTTTTGAGGTATTGTGGTTGCAATCAGATTCTTAGGTTTATAATTTAAGCTTTGTGTTCATCCGTGTTTCCCTTACATGTGAAATTGAATTGTAGATTGTGCTCCATAAACCTGAGGATGAAAAAGTTTATGTCACGGGAGGCCAAAAGAAAGTACCAGTATTTGTCACAGGACTTATCAAAATTGAAAATGCAGAAATCGCTATACTTGGCAGTGATCTTGGGAGCATAGAAACACAGAAAAAGTATGTTATCTCTCTTTTGCTTATCTTTTGTTGGTTTTGTACTGATATTTGATAACTGACGTGTGTACTGATAAAATGTGTTAACTGACAACTCTTTAATATTTTAGCCTCAAGTATGTTTGATTTCTTTTCAAATGATGTCTGACATTGCTCAATTTTTTTTCATGGTCTTACACCATAATTTATAGGCTAGATTTAGCTGGACAAAGTGCTGTATCATTATCAGCAAACCATCTCCGAAAGCTACGTGTATCCTTTAAATTGACAACTCCTCATGGGCTTGCTTTTAATCCACATCAGGTTATACTTGTCTTCATTTTTAATCTATGGTATTCTTTCCGGTCGTTTATTGATAAGTTTGGTGGTTTGCAGGTATTGCTCAAGTTGAGACATGAAAGCAAGGTTGAGCACCTCTTTGTGGTTGGAAACTCGGGAGAACAGTTTGAAATAATCCTAGTTAAGTACGCTTCTTTCATGGTTGAAATTTTTGGCTATATGACAGATTAAATTATTGTTAGTATCTTGAACAATTAGTGATTTCTTTGTTCCTCCGAGAAATGAGGAATCGGTTACCTTATACTATTATCATAAAGTATTCTTCCACTAGCTAAGCTTATGATACACTTATTTAAGATTTGACAATAGTATTCAGATGGAAAATATTCTGTTTATGTTTTTTATTATATATTAATCTTACCTGGCTTGTCTTGTAGAATTTTCTTGGGCTGGTTGAGAAGTTCTTCTATCTCTCAGGTAGATATGACATTGAGCTAACAGTTGGTGATGTTGTTATGGTAAGTGTTGCTTTTTCTTTATAAAATTCTCAATTTGTATGCTTTAAAAAATATGGTACAATATCTTCTTCTTCTTCTTCTTTTTTTCAGGATAACTCTTTATTAAGAGCCATTGGGCATATTGAGTTAGATCTACCAGAACCTCCTGAGAAGGCACCCCGCCCTCCTCCACAACCTGTTGATCCTTACTCAAGATATGGGCCCAAAGCAGAGATAACACACATCTTCAAGGCTCCTGAAAAGCGTCCTCAGAAGGAGCTTTCTTTTGCTTTCCTGGGTCTTACCTTCCTTCCATTACTTGGATTCTTGTTTGGGGTTAGTAGTCTTGCATGCACTACTTTTATATTTTGATTCAATCATAGGGTGTAGAGGGTTGCAATTTTGAAGGCATAATTTTATACTGTATAATTATAGTTAAAGATGCATATTTGCATATGTAACTGTAAGTATATTTACTTCAATAATGTGCTCATGCTATTATTTGGACTTTTTGATGGTTACTTGGATAGCTATATCGATTGGGGGTGAATTTGAAGAACTTTCCTACCAATACTGTTGCTGCCACATTTGCTGTTCTCTTCCATGTTGGCATCGGAGCAGTTCTGTTACTCTATGTGTTTTTCTGGTTGAAGGTTAGTTCTTCGCCGCCTTAAACAATCTGAGCAGAAGTCATTTGTCATTATTTGTGTGATTCCATCAATAACTTGTATGCATGGTTGTGGGTGCAGTTGGATCTGTTCCAAACGCTGAAACTACTTGGTTTGTTGGGAGTTTTCCTTGTGTTTGTTGGCCATAGAATCCTTTCCTATTTGGCTGCTACATCTGCCAAGCTTAAATCTGCCTGAGTTGATTGAAGAATGATTCAATTCCTTTGCAAGCGTTGTTTGGTGCACAGCGAAGAAAGGGTTCTTTCCCTTTTGCTTACCCAGATTTTTCTTGGGACATTTTAATTCAAAATTTTGTTAGGCTCGGCTCATTTTGTCAAATCAAGGCAATTTCCTTTTTATGAACCCCTTTGTAATTATTGATGCGCGAGAGAAAGAAAAAGAAGCTACTCCCGATTAAACAAAATGGCTTTTGACTCAAAGTCTGCTAATTTGATTAAACAATCTCTGCTGACATAAAATTGGAATCAGCAATGTTGGGACAGATCAAGGAAGATAAAGACGCGAATATGAAATAGATACACGCCCCCATACCTTAACCTCAACTGCCCTCCTCCCCGCATATCCAATTCCTCAAGAATTATTTTACTGATTGAATCCCTTGAAGACTTGTATCTTCCAAATAATTATATAACTTTTTATATAATCTCTTACATATATATATTCATTTGATAATAAACAATAAAATCAGACTTCTTTTATTTATATAATCTTTTATGCTCGAATTTAGAGACTTTTTTTTGCTACAAAGGGAAAATAAGAACACGAATTAAGTTATCCCAAATACCCCTGGGAAAAGAAACATCCCTGAGGTCTGCAACATAACTTGCCGAGATTTCAGATGGAGGAGAATCGAAGCACATAAGGTCCACATCAAGAAGACATCCCATCTTCTAGAGAGCATCCGCACAGAAGTTCCCTTTGCGATAAACATGCTTGAAGGTTAGGCACCAATGAGTTCTAAGTTCCCGGATATCCTTAACAATTGCACCCAAAAGGTGGGTTGAAATATCATCTCCATCAATAAGATTGAACACAACCTGGGCATCTACTTCGCATTCCATGTTATTGTAGTCGTACTTCGAAGCAATCAGCAGTCCAAGTCGTAAAGCAAAAAACTCCACAGCCACGCTCGATCAAACTCCCAAATGAGCTGCGAAATCCAAGATCCAATCACCAGTTTCGCTTCGGATCAGTCCACCGACACCCGCAACTCCCAGGTTTCCTTGACTAGCACCATCTGTATTCAATCTGACCCATCCAGTCAATGGGGGTAGCCAGCTCACAAATCGGGTTGAGGACGACACAGAAGACGACGACCGAACTAAGTGCACCTGTTCTTGGGCGAGTTGTAAGACATGACGCCAGAAACCATGCTCATCATAGTTATATCCCTCAGACTCCAACACACGTCGACATGTTTCTTTCCAAAGCTTCCATATAATACAAACAAATTTAATGAGTTCCTCACGGGAGCTGTTTTAGGCATCGAGAATATCCTTGAGCCAGGCGCTCAGCTCTTGGGACCATGAGGCACTCCACTTCCCTCCCTAATCACAACGATTCCATACTCTACGGGCGATATCATAATCTCTGAGAATATGAACCAAGCTCTCCAAATGATGGCTACAAGCACCATAACCTGCAGAACTCGATATGCCCCGAGAAGCCAACTAGGCATTCGTGAGTAACCTATCACGCCAAGCTAACCACACACAAAACTGACAACTGGGAATCACCGGAAGCTTTCATTAGCAGTATGATTCCACACGTATCGGTCATGAACGTTATTGAAAATGGGAAGAGGATAACCCATTATTTTCGTCGCTAGATCCATCGAGAGAACAACGAAAAGCTTCTCAAGATCCCATGAGTTGTTCGAAGTGATGAAATCACTAACCTTAGTAACATTATCCACGAGATGCGCCGAAATAGAAGGATAATCACAAATCACCTGTCCAAGCCAATTTTCAGTCCAAAAGAGTGTCAAGACCATTCCCGATGCGCTTCCTTAAGCCAGACGCCAAGCCACGAAGACCATAAATTATGTTTCTCCATGAGTGAGACCAAGAGGTCGATGAGCGAGGACTATCCATAGCAAAAGAAATGGGATCATCTTGATCAGGGTATACGGCTTTGAGAGCACGCACCTATAAGCAATCGGGTTGAGTAAAGAATCGCCAAGCAATTTTTTTTGCAATAGAACAACATTGTGCTTCTCCATGGTACGTAATCCCAATCCGCTAAGTCGCAAACAGTCTCCCAAGCAACAAGATAAGGAACCCGTTTTTCATACGAACCTCCCCACAAGAAAATTCGATTCACCCTATCAACTTCATTAATGATGCTGGTAGGCAGCTTGGAAGTCATCATCGTGTATGTTGGAATAGCGGAGGTAACAAAACCAACAAGGATAACCCTCCCCATGGCCGAGAGGGTATTCACTTTCCAACTACTTACGACTCATTTTCACTTTATCCACAATGTCCCCATAGGTCACCTTCGATACACGACCATGAATCAAGGGTACTCCTCAATACTTCCCCAAGTCCGAGGTAGGCCCTATCTGTAATATTTGACTAAGTCGTCGCTTCATTTCAACGGTAGAAGATGGAGATAAGAAAAACTTTGACTTCTCAAAGCTAAATTTGGCACCAGAGGCAGCGCAAAACCTATCAAGAATATTCTTGACCACATTCGCTTGCTGAACATTGGCTCGCCCAAATAAGAAAAGATCATCCACAAAAAAATAACATCATGAATCAAATGACCATTCCTTCATAACTTGATCGGTTTCCATAAATTTTGATTAACGACATCATGAATCAAATGACCAAGTCTCTCCATGAAAAGAATGAACAAGTATGGAGAAATAGGATCGCCTTGACGAAGACCCCATGAGGGACTGAAATAAGAAGTCTTCTCTCCATTCAAAGCACCGAAAGTTCCGTGCTTTGAACAAAAAACAATAGTAGGCCAATCCACTTCTTCGGGAATCCAAAATGATAAAATGTATCCACAAGAAAGTCCCACCTGATTCGATCATAAGCTTTCTCAATGTCGATTTTTATGGCTATCAATCCATTCTTACCTTGCATCGCCTAATCTTGTGAACGACCTCCTGAGAAAGGATGATATTATCAGCAACTTGCCTTCCAGGAATAAAACTCCCCTGAACAAGTTTATTTAAGAGGGGCCGAAGCCTATTGACAAGAACCTTCGTAATAAGCTTATAGGCAACAATACAAAGACTGATGGGCGAAAATTGTTTAATCGATTTCGAGGAGGATACTTTCGAAATCAAAGGTATCAAAGTTTGATTTAGCTCGGTTGGAAACGAGCCCGTCTCCAAGGCCGATTGAACCAAAAAAGGGATCCTCAAAATGTACTACACGTCTCCTGATAGACACCAGCATGGAAGCCATCGTCACCTGGCGCTTTCCAAGGTTTCATCATGAAAAGAGCCTCGTAAACTTCCTCCTCTGAAACTGAACGTATCATGGCTTAGCCATCATCCAGCGGGATCCTTGGGCAATCGAGACTTGGAAGAGGATCACCAGGTGGAATATCGACAGAAAAAATATTGCGAAAATAATCAAAAACCAAAAAGATAAAGAGCTGAGGATAGCTAACCCAATCGCTATCCATATTCCGAAGCATGGAAATTTTATTTCTTCTTCGCCGCGTAATAGTAGTAAGGTGAAAGAAGACACCATGCTGTAGCCATTGGACCCGGGTTTTCTGGAACCAGAATAATTCCTCATTGTAGACACCCATTTTGCCCAGGCCAAAAAATCAACCGTCAACAATAATATTCCAATCGATCACCAAGATTTTTGAAGCCGTCATCGTCATCACATTAACTCAAGAAATACCAAAGTCAACTATATCAAGCCCAAAGTAAAAAAACAACAACAATAAATTCCATAAAATCTGAGATTTTACATACTCCAAATAAATCATCACGTGCAACAATCATTATAAAAGGAGCAGGGGTTCGGACTTGAAAAGCATAGGGCAAGCATCCAAACAAGAGCAAAAAAAAAAATAAAAATAGAGAGAAGAGAACGAGAGACTTATCACGACCGTCGGAGGCCTCAAATATCATCGGAAAGTCGAAACATCGAATGTAAAAATTTAAATCTACGTCGATCTAGAGATTTTTAGAAAGAAAGGTCGTCGGATTCGGCTTTAGGGTGTTAAGAGATTCGATTTGATGTATTTTTATATTTTTCGGCCACCGTAAATAGTAATCGATCGGTGCCCGGCTAATTCCCGACCGTTGGCCGGTTTCCCTCCAGTGAAGGAGTTAGAAAGAAATCAGAGCTTCTCTCTCTTAAAGAGAAGTCAGAGCTTCTCTCTTAGAGAGAGAAGCAAAAATGAAAATGAGAGATGGAGAGGCATTTTAGGCATGTTATGAAATATAAATACCCTCCCCAAAACTACTTCGTTTTGGGGAATGACTTTTTATCATTTCGAAAATAGTCAAACCTCGTCCGCAGTTCATGTAATTTGTAATTTGTATATTTTAGTCACCAATTTTAATTTTTAGCATTTTAATTTAGATTTCAAATTTTATTATGTTTACATTTTAGTCACTAATTTATGTTTTTATTCGAATATGGCCTAAGAATTTATGCATGTTTTATTTTGGTTACTAGTGTAAATTATTTTTCTTTTATTTTAGACTTTTAATTGTGAAATAATTTTATTTTAATCAATCTTTTATTTGATATTTTGAAATTATTATTATTATTATTTCCTAAATTTTATATTTTATATTTATTTTTTATAAATTAATATTTTTTTAATTTTTATATTAATATTTTCTTAAATTTTATTTTTATTTTTTGTAACGTTATTTTACCTTATTATTATTTTTTTAATTTAACCACTTAAAATTATTTCTTTTTATTTAACATTCAATATTTTATTTTACCATCTAATATTTTGTTTGATTTTTCTGTAGTAATTTCAATTGATAAAAGGTAAGTAATTCGAATTGAATTTTAAAATTTCAATTTAAATTTTAACTTTAGCAATTAAGACAACCGACAAATTAAATGGTACCGAAAAGGCAGTTCAAGGGTGCTAATCCTTCCTTGACTGTAACCGACTCCCGAACTCGTTTTAATCGAATATTTGTAAAAGCAGACCAATTTTTTGTCTTAAAAATAATTTTTCTTAAAATTGTTTTTAAAAGACGTTTTTATGTATTCGACCTACCTAACCCAAAGGTCGATGGCGACTCTTTCAATTTAATTTCAAAATCCCTAATTTTTCAAAATTAAAGTCGTAACTATTTTTTTAAAAAAACAATAAATAATTGTTCCACCTGAAAATGGTTATGACAGTTTGGCGACTCTGGTGGGGACTGTAAGTGAGTGTGGCCAGAATTATTTTTGATTTTCTTTTTAAGTAAAAATAATAAGTTTAAATTTTAATTTATTTATTTGATTCTTATTATTTATCTTTGATTTCTTTTCAAATAAATAGTTGTACTGACGTTTTCTTTCAATGGTTTCAGCTTATTAAAAGTTTTCATCTCTGGCTCTATACCCGAGCTCCGAACCCTTTTTAAGTAGGGGTGAAAGCGACACTTTCGTGAGAATTTATTCTCCGTATGGGCCTAGCAAGTAATCTTCGAGATTCATATACCTTATGTCTTTGTGTGAATTTATTCTCCGTATGGGCATAAGGGAATGTATACTCTCGAGTTTAACTTAGTCACATAAGCTTGTAATGGGATCAAGATTAAGGGTCTGAAAAGCCCAAAGGGTCACCAGAAAGAAGAACTCGGGTACCCTTTTTAGAACTTAAACCGAGAGACTACATGTAATTAGAGCTCACCCCAAAACCTCACTTCAAACCCTAGGCTGTTTTGAGATTATTTTCTGCTTTGTTTTCTGTTCAAAGCTTGTGAACTAGAAATTTATGCGGTTAGGACTCGTTCAAAACCAACTTGCGGGATAAAGATCATGTCCGGGTAAAGAATAATAAGCATGTGGGGTATATATCATGTGAGGTAGGACTTTTTATTTTCATTATTTTTTTATATTATCCTTATCTCACTAACTTCTTTTTCTTCCATTTTTGTTTTTTTTTCATTTTATTTTTATCATTTACATCATTCAAAAGAGGTGTTGATCCATAAAAACATGTTCGTTAAATGTAAATAGTTTGTATTAATGGACAAAGGGTTGTAATACAAGAGATGAAAAACGCAAAAGTTTGGCTATGGTCAGAAAAGACTCAGAAGGAAAAAGAGGACAATCTGCAAGGCAATTATGTGTCATATTCAAGACGTGATGCCCACAATCAAGTACATCAAAAGTCAACTTTCCAAACATAGGTTGAAAAAGGATGCAGGGGCAAGATGAGAAAAAGGTTACTGACCTGGAGAGTCCCTTTAAAGACAACAAGAGCAAAACGATAGTTGAAATTGGAGGCCATTATTGATAAATTCAAGAAACAAGCAAATGAACTTCGGATAACTCCTATCGATGGAAGACTCCAATGGCGTTTCTGTTAAGGAAGAAGTTCAACAAAGGTACAATCATTCGATACTGCAGGAAAAAGTATAAAAAATAGCTCGTCACTCGCACTGTTTAACCAGAGAATCGGAGTGGCTGGACAGGGTATCAACCGGTGACAGAAGAAGGCAGAAGATGAGTCAACCTGTCAGAAGCTATTCAGGGTCTAGAAGACTTGGTGGTTTTTTGTCTCTTAAGAAATAACACTTTTGTCCCAATAAAGATTATTTATAATAACATACATGTTTTCGGATCAATGCTTCAAACATTTCATGCATTTTTACATTTTGCATCTACATTTCATTTTTAAGCATTTTCATAAACATGAAATTAAGTCATGGAAGATTCGATGAAGTGGTCCTAATTACGTGACATCACATGGAAGCAAGATTTGAACAATTAAAGAAAAAATTGAAATCAATACGGTGGCTGTTTGTTCAAAAGATTGTAGGATTGAGCCTCTAGGATGATCTAAGAGAAGAGTTCCCATTCCCTACAATTTATGATGTTGAAGCTGTGTGCAGTTACCACATAGGAAGCTCCAGATATTTCTTTGGGAACAGTAAGACACTGAAGCACAAGATCCAAAACCTAATGGATTCAGGGGCATGGACAATCAAAGAAGGGGGCATTGCATCTACCATTTGCATTGAGAGCATTATTTTGTTTGAACACGTTTTTGATCTTTCATATTTGCTTAATCTTTTAAACGACTGAATTTATGTTACCTTCTAAGGTGGAATAATTGAACAAATTTTAATCTTTAGTTATTTGAATATCGAATGAATTAAGAATTTTTTTAATTCTTCAAGAATTATAGATTTTTGACATATGGCAAGATCAGACCTTTCTTATCATGTCTAAAACAAAAAAAATCCCTCGATTCTTTACCCAGAATAATTCATGAAGATACAAAGAGTCATACCATACCTTTGAGTCAATAAAGTCGCACCATCGTTTTTTAGATGTAAAACCAACATTTTCCAATAAAACCTAAGGCATAGAGTTGTTCATTTTAGTATTCTTCTAAGACACAACTTGGGGCATCTCGTAAGGAGCCTGAACATTGAGGCATGTTAGGAACAAGAAGCAGAAATAATAATTCATTCAAAATAATTCTATCATGCATTAATTACACTAATTTTTTTATGTGAATAAAATTAATCCTGATTCATTTATCCATATATGTATATATATATCCCTTGTTGACCCTTATTGAGCCTATATATTTTTCTTCTGATTCAATCCTAACCAAGGATCACACTCCACACTGAGGGGCAATGCGGAAGAAATCTGCTCACATGAGTGAAGACATTAATCCAAGGAGATACCAAAAGGTGAACCAAATTTCAAGTGCGAAGATCCAATTAGAACAAAAAGAGAAAAGAAGTAATAAAGAAAAAAACAAAGGAAAAAGTGAAGTAAAAAGAAGACAAGACGCATATGCAAAGATTCTCTCGATTCAAATAACGTGTCGAGATTCAAATTTTGAGATCGATCAAGCACAATCATTCTAGAATCACTTCACTCAAAGATCATGGAGCATCAAGAGAAAATCAAGAGGAACACATACGAGCAGATTCAAATTGATCAAGACAGGATTGAAGGCATCAGAATAAATTGATCCTTGGTTCAATACCTTAAAACACTTGTTTGGGCCTATTTATCCTTTTCTTTTATATCCATGAACCATGGCCTACATTACGTGCCTTAAAAGTCCCTTCTAATCATACATGGATTTCTGAACAGAAGAGACTATCTTCAGATTTCATCCACCCCATCAGGATTAATCTTTATTTGCAAAAGGTTTTCTAAAATCTTTAATGCATGGTAGAGAAAAATAACAAAGGGGGGTTCAAGACGTAAATTATGATTACGCCTTGAAACCAAAGGAGGATTCGAGTTGAAAACCTGAAAAGGCGGTTCGAATATAAAAATTGTGCAATTGAGGTGATTGCACAAATTCCTTGATAAGGCGTCGCACAATCTGAGCATGACCATGAAAGTTGGGAGTCGGAGAACACTTCCAGTAGAGAAGCATACAAGTTACCCCATCAAACCTTTGAGCATCGAATAAACAAAAATGACAGACCTTTGACCAAACACAATAACCTGAGACCTTTGTATCTTTTCCTTAACCATTTCCCAAAAATAGCTTTGATATTGACATTTGTCAAATATCTATAATTTATTGAAGGATTAACAGTGTAATTAATTCTTTGATATACAATGAACTCTTGTTTTATGATTCGTCAATTATAAGACCTAAAAAGGGGCAATATTTTGAAGAAATCTTTGATTAAACATTTTTTCAAAACTCTTTTAATTAATATTTTCATACTTTTGAAAATAAAAGAAGAAGAAAAGCGCTTTTCAAACAAGACAATATCTTTGGAGTGGATCTTGGTAGATGATATGTGGCTCTCAGACATAAAGCTCATGCTTAGAATCAACGTTGAAGTAAGAAATGATGTGTGATGGGGCATCTTTGGAGATTCAACATCGAATGTTGGGGCATCTTTGGGGATTCAACATACGATGTGAACGATCAGATCTTCTGAAAGCATTCCCTCCAGATGCATGAACAAGCAGACAAAGAATGAGGCTCCATCTACGAGATAAAACATAACTAATTCATGTTGCATGCATCTTAGACATACTTAAGAGCATCACATTCATAATTTTTTTTGCATACATAATTTTTTGCAGCTTTTAGAGTCAAGTTTCAACTTCAAGAAGAAAGATACTCGATTTAAAAGCACCTTCAGAAATTGATGGTGGAAGCTCAACTTCACAGCAAATGAGCGTCTGCCAACAAACAACTTTCTAGTTTCATTCAGAGTCAATTTCAACTTCACATCGAAGGGTATTAGACTCGAAGCGACACAATTTACTATAGATTGGATTTCAACTTCACAACGAATGATATCCAACTCAAAGCCAATTTGGTGAAATTAGATTTCAACTTCACGAAGAAGGATATCCAACTCAAAACCAATTTGGTGAAACAACCCTTGGATTTTAACTCACAACGAAAGATATCCAATTCAAAGCTCAACTTCACAACGAAGGATCCATCCACGATTTCAACTTCACGATGAAGGATATCGTGCCCCACAAGCAGCAATGCAACCCTTGGATTTCAACTTCACGACAAAAGATATCCAATTCAAAGATCAACTTCACAACGAAGGAGCCATCCACGATTCAACTTCACGACGAAGGATATCGTGCCCACAAGCAGTAATGCAACTCTTGGATTTCAACTTCACGACGAAGGATATCCAACTCCAAGCTCAACTTCACAAGGAAGGAGCCATCCACGATTCCAACTTCACGACGAAGGATATCGTGCCCAACATATTGACTTAATTTCACAGCAAATGAGTCATCTGCAACTGGGATTTATTCCCCAGTCAAGTATAACATAACTCAAAGGCGAGAGGGTTATCTGTCAACAAACTTCGAGTTCGATTATACTCAACTCAAAGTCACATCATTTGCACATAGCTCAAGCAATAAGGGTTATATGTCATCAAAGACCTTCGAGTTCGATTACATACAACTCAAGGCATATCATTTGCAGCTTAGCTCAAGGCAAGAAGGGCTATCTGCCAACAAAAGACCTTCGAGTTCAATTACACTCAGCTCAAATGCACGTCATTTGCAGCATAACTCAAGGCGAGAAGAGATATCTATCAACAGGAAACTATCAATTTCGATTACATTCAACTCGATGACATATCAACTACTTTTCGATCAAATTTTCAAACCAAGGTCTTTAGGTCAAGAAGAAGATCTGGGGCAATCTCTCAGTTTAGTACAGCATAACTTAAGGCGAGAAGGGTTATCTGTCAACAAGAATTTTTGAATTCGATTTCATTCAGCTCGAGGGCATATCGAACACATTGTAACATCGAGGAACTACTTTCCGGAAGAATTTTCAAGCCAAGGTCTTTAAATCGAGAAGAATACCAAGACCCAATTCCAGGCTCAATCCAAAGCCCAATTACAGTTGTTCCCCAATAATGAATACATCAAATTAAAAAAAGAGAATCAGACAAAAGCTGGTTGTCTTTGTCGTCTTTGCCCTATTCTTGTTGATACAAGAATTTGCAAAGAGGGGCAGCTGTAGACACCCGTTTTGTCCGGGTCAAAAAAATTAGCCACCAACAACAATATTCCAGTCGGTCACCGAGACTTCTTGAAGCCGTCATAGTCATCACATACATCACGAAATACCCAAAATCAGCCATATCAAGCACAAAGTAAAAATACAACAACAATAAATTCCAAAAAATCTGGGATTTTACCTATTCCAAAGAAATCATCACATGCAACAACCATTATAAAAGAATGAGGGATTCGGACTTGAAAAGCAGAGGGCAAGCATCCAAACAAGAGTAAAAAATATAAAAATAGAGAGAAGAGAACGAGAGACTTACCATGACCGTCAGAGGCCTCAAACATCGCCGGAGAAGTCGAAACATCAAAGGTAAAAATTTAGATCTACGTTGATCTAGGGGTTTTTAGAAAGAAAGGTCGCCAGATTCGGCTTTAGGGTAGTAAGAGCTTCGATTTGATGTATTTTTATATTTTTCGGCCATCGTGAATAGTGAATGATAGTGGTGAATAATGATCGATGGTGGCCGACGGTGGCGGCGCACGGTGACCGGCCGTTGGTCGGTTTTCCTCCAGTGAGAGAGTTAGAGAGAAGTCAGAGCTTCTCTTTATTAGAGAGAGAAGCAAAATTGAAAAATGAGAGATGGGGAGGCATTTTAGGCATGTTATGGAATATAAATACCCTCCCCAAAACTACGTCGTTTTGGGGAAGGACCTTTATGTCATTTCGAAAATAGTCAAACCTCGTCCGCATTCCAGTAATTTATACATTTTAGTCACCAATTTTAATTTTCAGCATTTAATTTGGATTTCAAATTTTATTATGTTTACATTTTAGTCACTAATTTATGTTTTTATTCGAATATGGCCTAAGAGTTTATACATGTTTTATTTTGGTCACTAGTGTAAATTATTTTTCTTTTATTTTAGTCTTTTAATTGTGAAATAATTTTATTTTAATCAGTCTTTTATTTGATATTTTGAAATTATTATTATTATTATTTCCTATATTTTATATTTTATATTTATTTTTTATAAATTAATATTTTATTATTTTTTATATTAACATTTTCTTAACTTTTATTTTTATTTTTTATGACATTATTTTATTGTATTATTATTATTATTTTTAATTTAACCTCTTAAAATTATTTCTTTTTGTTTAACATTCAATATTTTATTTTACCATTTAATATTTTATTTGATTTTTTCAGTAATAATTTCAATCAATAAAAGATAAGTAATTCGAATTGAATTTTTTAAATTTCAATTTCAATTTTAACTTTCGCAATTAAGACAACCGAAAAATTAAATGGTACCTAAAGGGCAGTTCAAGGGTGCTAATCCTTCCTTGAATGTAACCGACTCTCGAACTTGTTTTAATCGAATCTCTGTAAACGCAGACCAGTTTTTTGTCTTACAAATAATTTTTCTTAAAATTATTTTTAAAAGATGTTTTTAGGTATTTGACCTACCTAACCCAAAGGTCGATGACGACTCTTTCAATTTAATTTCAAAATCCCTAATTTTTCAAAATTAAAGTCGTAACTGTTTTTTTAAAAAACAATAAATAATTGTTCCACCTGAAAAATGGTTATGACACTCATGTTCAAGAAGCTTATTATAATCAGAAATAAGATCCTCTTCAAGCACATCGTTCTGATGAGAGCGAAGATTCATCAGAATTTTCTGTAGACCACGAATAACTATCCAAAAGAGTTATATTTGGTAGCCTTAATTATATAAGTTTAGTTTGAACTTAAGCATATTTAGGAGAATTTTAGGATTAAACTTAATTATTTTTTCATATTTTTCATGTTAGGAGCATAGTGAGTCGTTAAGGGTTAAACTTGATTTTTTTTACTGCAAACTGTTGCACTAATGTTGTAGCGCTGTAGCAAATTTTGATCGAATGTTATAGTGGTCGTCTAAACTCCAGTCAGTTGGAAGAATCTTCTAGATTGGGACATGAGATTTTTATTCAACCTATAAAAAGGGGAGCACTTAGGTGCAAAAAATGTGATGATGGGGAGAGATCCAAAGTACCACATTGTTTTCTTCAAACCATGGATGCCTAAATCCTCTGACAGGGTTGTTGCAGCAGAAAGAAAGCTTGCTGAAGAGCTTCAACGGGTCACCATTCAAAACCTTCTATTGAGAGATAAAGTGTTTAGAATGTTTAACTAGTTATTGGATGTTTATTGTGGATTTCTTTATTTTATGTTCTCTTAGATTTTGGTTTATGAGCTTTGAATTTCATGATTGCGAGTAGAAATATTTGCAATTACACATATAGTATTTTCGTTTAAATCTAGAAGTAGTTTTATTCGAGTTGCTATGTACTTGTGTGAGCATTGGTGTTGTTGAGTAGCATAGTTATATTAAAAAGTGTGCAACTAGTTGATTAGAATTATTAATGATTTGAATATTTAATTGATGAAAATTATTAAAGTAGTTCAAATGGATTTAATCAATGTTGATTACATAGATTAAGTATTCAATGCTTGCATAGAATTTGGGAATCATAATAGCATATCTTCGATTCGATAGCTGACTATTTGCTTCATGGAATGCTATAACATGAAGTGGTATCTTTAATTATTGATTACATTACTTTCACTTTAGCATGAATTTCCTTTGATTCATCTTATTGTCAAAAACTCTAATATAACCATCGACATCCATAGCATTATTTTGCTACCACTTTATTACTTGATTTACGATACGTGCACTTGCGTTGTATGCAATAGCATTTTCGTAGCATCAAATTTTTTACGTCGGTGCATTGAAGTTTTTCTTGCGATTCAACCCACTGAATATGAATGCTAAGCTTCGAAATGGATTGAATTCATTTAAGCAGATGAATGATGAAAGCTTGTATGAAGCATTGGAAAGATTTAAGGATTTGTTGTGGAAGTGTCCTATACATAATTTCTCACATTGGACTCAAATGGAGATGTTTTACAATAGGTTAAATATATACACTCGAATGGTGGTTGATGCCTCAACGAGTGGAGTTTTGTTGGATAAGGCATAAAATGAAGTATATGACATCATCGAGATAATTTTTATCAATGATTGTCAATACCGTAATACGTTCAATATATTTGGTTGAATTAGTATTACAGTAGTATATCTAGAAACCTTTAACTCTATGGCATCTTAAATTTCAACATTAACTGAAATGGTGAAGAAATTGCATAATCCAAGGGGAACATATGAAGTTAAAGTCGTATCTCTTGTCACTTGCGTATATTGTGGTGATGACCATAATTTTGATGAATGTCCTCAAAATCCGTAGTCCATCTACTACGTGCGGAATTATTAAAGGAATGATAATGTGTTTGGAAACACGTACAACCCAAATTTCAGAAATCATCCTAATATCTCTTGAAGAAGCCAGAATGTTGCTAACCCACAACATCAACAGTATCAATAGAATCAGTACACTCAGCATAGTCAAATGTCACATCCGTAGGTACAATAATATGTCACTCAACCACAAAAAGGCTAAATTATCAAAGTCAATCTTCGAATCAATTTTCAACCTTGACGCCTTTTGAAGCCATGATGAAAGAGTATATGGAAATTCAATCTGCCTCATTAAGGGCTATTGAGAATCAGATGGGATAAATGGCTAATGCTCTAAATAGTCGATTGCCAGGATCGCTACCTAGCGACACTGAGAATCCTAAGAATGGTAAGGAGTATTGTAAGGCCATTACCACAAGAAGTGGAATTCATATTGGGGATCCAGTTGACGAACTGAGGAAGAAGAATAAGGAAGCTCATCGGCATGGTAAATGGAAGAGTAAAGAAGTTAAGTATTAACCATATGTGAGTTAATCCCCAACGACAGATGCGGGGCAGAGTAGTAATTCAGAGCCATTGCAAAAGGTAACCCCTGATGCATCTGATGCATATTCGACTCTAGTGCTATAGAAACAACAAATGAAAATCCCTCAACCTTTTTCATGGTGCTTCAAGAAGACAAAGAAAGATCATCAATACAAATCTTTCATCTATATAATTTTCTAGCTTACAGCGAACTTTCCATTGATTGATGCTTTAGAACAAAATCTGAATTATATTAAATTCATGAGGAAAGTCCTTTCAAAAAAATGAAGACTTGGTGAATTTGAGACAACCCATCTTACTGAAGGCTGTAGCGCTATTACTACTAGTCAATTGCCACCAAAGCTTAAGGATCCATGGAGCTTCACTATTCCTTTTAACATTAGTGACATATTTATAGGTAAAGTCTCTTTTTATTTGGGTGCTAGCATAAATCTAATGCATTTGTCAATCTTTAGGAAATTTGGAAGATACGAAGCAAGGCCTACTACAGTTACCTTGCAACGTGCTGACTGCTCTACCGTGAATCCTAGTAATATTGTGGTGAACATGCTTGTGCATGTTGATAAGTTTATATTTCCTACGGACTTCATTATTTGGGATTACAAAGCAGACAAAGATGTTCTAATCATTCTCGATCGACCATTTCTTGCCACGGGTCGAGCTTTTATTGATGTTGAAAAGGGAGAATTGACTATGTGTTTGAATGATGACCATATTACTTTTAATGTCTTGAATAATGTTTTTTATATCAATGGCAATGCTAACTGTTTTTCACTTGGCGTGCTTGATATTGTTGCACATGAGCATTTGGAAGAATATTATAGCGAACAACTTTATGAGATTTCGAAGCATTTGAAGAATTCTTAATAGATGAAGAAGCCGAATGTTGTAGCAAGTATCTCCAGAGCATAAAACCGTTTGAAATACATGATCATATCATTCAAGCACTGAAGCCATCTATTGAAGAACCATCGAGGCTTGAAACGAAACCACTGTCGGAGCATTTGAAATATGTTTATCTTAGAGGAAATGAGACGTTGCCAATTATTGTGGTAGAACAGCTTACAATATCACATGAAGCTCAGCTAATTGATATGCTGAAGCAACATAAAAAGGCAATTGCATGGAGCATCGCTAATATAAAAGGCATTAGTTCATCATTTTGAATGCATAAAATTCTTTTAGAGGATCCCAACATTAGCTCAATTGAACACAAGCGAAGATTGAATCTGACAATGAAAGAAGTGGTTAGGAAGGAGATTATAAAATGGTTGGATACTGGAATTTATATCATATATCGGATAACAATTGGATTAATACTTTGCAATGCATTCCAAAGAAGGGTGGAATTATATATCCTATATTCGACAAGGACCACTACTGGTTAGAGGATATGTATGGACTATATGAAGTTGAATAAAGCAATGAGGAAAGACCAATTTTCATTTCCCTTCATATATCAAATGCTAGATAGACTTACGGGTAATGATTTCTATTGTTTTTTGGATGGATATAGTGGTTACAACCAAATTTTTATAGCTATGAAAGATCAGGAGAAAACAACTTGTACATGTACGTATGGCACCTTTTCTTTTTGTAGAATGCCATTTGGGTTGTGTAATGCTCCAGCGATATTCCAACGCTGTATGATGGTCATTTTCTCCGATATGATTGAGGATTACCTTGAAGTTTTTATGGATGATTTTTCAATCTTTGGGAAAGATTTCGACAAGTATTTGAGCAATTTGGCTGCAGTTTTGAGAAGGTGCGAAGAGACCAACTTAGTTTTAAATTGGGATAAATGTCATTTTATGGTCACGGAAGGCATAATGCTTGGGCATTGAATTTCATGCCATGGTATTGAAATGGATAAAGCAAAAGTAGAAGTTATTGAGAAATTTCCACCACCTACTAATGTGAAGGCAGTTCGAAGCTTTCTTGGTTATGCGGGTTTCTATAAAAGATTTATTAAAGACTTATCTCGAATTGCTAAGCCATTGTGCTAATTGCTGGAGCAAAATAGTAAGTTTGTTATTGATGATGAAGTACTTCAATAGTTTGAGACAATTAAATTGAAGTTAGGGAATGCCCTTGTTATTATAGCATTGGATTAGACTTTGCCCTTTGAGTTAATGTGTGATGCTAGTGATTTCGTGGTAGGAGTAGTGTTGGGGCAACAAAAGGATAAAATGTTTCACGCAATACAATATGCTAGTAGGACATTGAATGAAGCTCAGATCAACTACACCACAACCGAAAATGAGTTGCTTGTTATGTTGTTCATTTTTTATAAATTGTGTTCCTACTTGGTGGGTACGAAAGTGATTGTCTATATTATCATTCAGAGCTGAAGCATTTGTTTTCTAAGAAGGATACAAAACCTCATTTAATTAGATAGGTGTTGTTACTCCAAGAATTTTATATTGAAATTCAAGTTAAGAAGGGATCTGAAAATTAAGTGGCTAATCACTTGTCTAGGTTAGAGTCTGGTAGCAAAGATGGTAGCATTTAGGTAATTCCAAATGAGTTTTCTGATGAGTGTTTGCTAGTTGCTATAGCATTACCATGGTATGTAGATTTTGCTAACTATCTTGTTAGTGGCATGATGCCACCAGACCTTAATTACCAAGGTCGATATAAATTTTTACGGGATGTAAAGCAATGCCATTGGGATGAGCCATATTTATTTAAGCAATATAATGACAAACTATGTGACGATGTATTCCTCAATGTGAGCAACAAAGCTTTCTGCAGCATTGTCCTAGTTCTCCATATGATGGACATTTGGTGGTATGTAATCAGCGAAAGTACCGCAGTGGATATTATTGGCCATCACTTTTTAAGGATGCTAATGATTTTGTAAAACATTATGATCCCTGCCAGCAAACTGGAAATATTTATCGCTAAAATGAAATGTAGATGTAGCATATTTTGGAGATCGAGCTACTTGGTGTGTGAGGATTAGACTTTATGAGTCCATATCTTTCTTCATGTGGTAACCTCTTCATTTTAGTTGATGTAGATTATGTATCCAAATGGGTATAAGTTATAGCCTTGCCAAACATCAATGCTAAAGTAGTGTTGCATTTTTTGCATAAAAATATTTTCACTCATTTTGGAACACCTCATGCATTTATCGGTGATGAAGAATCTCAATTTATTGGCCATCAGGTTCCTAGATCATTGAATATATATGAAGTGAAACATAAGTTTGTTATAGCATATCATCCACAGTCTAATGGCCAAGCTGAGGTGTCTAACCGAGAAATCAAGCAAATCCTTGAGAAAGTTATGAATCTTTCTCGAAAGGATTGGTCCCAACACCTCAAAGAAGCACTATGGGCTATCAAACTGCTTATAAGAATCCATTGGAAATTTCCCTATATTGTCTTTTTATGGTAAAGCATGTCACTTACTGGTGGAGTTGAAGCATAAAGCTATGTAGGCGTTAAAGAGGCTAAATTTTGATCTTGGTGTTGCAGGTGAACAACGGATGCTGGAACTTAATGAATTGGAGGAAATTCAAAATAATGCAATGAGAGTTCATGTATTTATAAAGACAAGAGCAATAAATGATATGATCAAAATAGTTTTCCAAGGGAATTCATTGATGGACAACAACTGTTGTTATTTAATTCAAGATTAAAATTATTCCCTGGGAAGTTGTGTTCTCGTTGGTCAGGCCCTTTTAAAGTTCTTGAAGTTTTCCCTCATGGTGTAGTATTATTGAAAAACTTGGTGGATGGAAGCACAATTAAAGTCAATGGGAAACGCTTGAAGCATTATTATCAGTAACAAAGCCCTAGCATCACTTCGATCACACTAAACGATCCTCCTCCTTTTTTTATATTTTGTTCTCTTGAATAAGTCAATTCTTTTGACATATATTTGTAAGCAATTGTTTTCTTTATTTCTTTTTGTACATGTGTTTTAGTTTGATCACTCCCGATCAACAATTTTATGTTGCAGAGCTCTTCACATTGTAGTGTGCATACATCGTTGTACTGAAGCCATAGCAATTACTAGGTTACCCAACTATTTTTATGGTAAAAATTAGTGTGAGTTGTCTTCTATTT